CAAATTACCCCTAAAACCTTAAATTTCCCAAATCTGCCCAAATTACTTAATTTACCCTAAAAATTGTGCCAAACCACTTTGAACCACTCAAATTATCCAAAACATCCCAAAATTTTTCAAAATTCCCAAAATACCTCTAACTTCACCAAAATTACCAAAATGTCATTGGTGGCCCAAATTTTCCCAAAACCTCCCAGATCATTTCAAACACTCCCAAAACCAATCTTGATCACTCATGAAGTCCAATTTGACCAATTTGACCAAAATCTTAATTTTGCCCTTTAATTCCCAATTTCCCTAAATCCATCCAAATTTTCACCAAATTGCTTTCAAACTTCCCAATTTCAAACCTAAACTAAATTTCATCATGTCTAAACCCAATTGAAATAAAATTCTAGCCCAATTAAATCCAATTTCGAACTTAAATTCCAAGCCCAATTCAAAATCCGCAATTTGACCCAATGCTCAAGGATTTGAATCTTCTCTAAGATATTTAAATCCTTGTGAGCAACTGAGAATATTTATTTTCGCCACATGGATCATCGCACTTGTGTAAGTCTGAGGTCTAGCTAGGGCAATGACGATAACACTAATGTGTGCTAAAACGACGGATGCGATATAGAATTTTAGAATGATATCTCCTAGCTCAAGGACCTTTAATAAGAGGGAAGGATTAGGACTGATGATGCTATTTGACTACTCTTGAGAAGATGATTGCTTCCGATACTCTTATGTTGTTTAAAGTTCTAGCTTTCCACCTAGGCTTGTCAAGCGGCCCGCAGTTATTCACATTTGTTGCACTTTCCAACTAAGCTTGCTACGGGGATCGTGGTTCATAAACACATCTTCCGTCCAGCCAACGTCGCCAACTGACCTAACTCGAGAACCGTCGAACTTCTAGACCTAAGATTTTGCTCAATACTCAACCAAATCACATGGGGTTTGTTCCTATAGCTTTATCTAGTCAAGGCGAACCTATCTATATGATTATAATCGTATGAAGTATAAGTTCACTTAACAATTAATGAAACCGAGGGAAAAATTAGGATTAGTGGATTATACCTTTCCCAAGAGGTGAGACCTCGATTGGGTGCTTGTGAAAGTTTCCTTTTGGTTTAACGAACCTCCTCCAAAGTGTCTGTTCAAGCTGATATGGGGTATAGGTACGAGTTCAATCAGGGGGTGGTGCGGCTTTGGTCTAAAGGTAGGTTAGAGGGCTCGGGACAAGGAGATTTTGATGACAAACTTCCTCGTTTGATCTGAGGAAGCTTAAAGATGGTTTAATTTGAAGGTTTATGGAGTTTGGTTAAGGGACAGAAAAAGTCATAGTTTTTTAATTCAAGATCGAGCTCTGGCAGTGGGGGAAGAGGGTTGGATTGATCTTAGGGAGACTCAAGGAAGCTCTGTGAATAATTTAGAGGCCTCTCCGCAAGAAAATGATAGCAATCTCTACTTGACCGTGAATGGGGGAGTTTAAATAGAGGAGGAAGGGGAATTGGGCTGGCCAATCGATGCAAAAGGGAGCTTAGGTGGAGGGCTGAATGGTGCCAATGAACAATCAGGGCTAGCCACATAGAATGGGTTCAATGAGGTTCAAACCAAGGGGAAGGCTCTCTCGGTTTTGGGTGGCCAGTGGGTGCAAAAGGGAGCTTAGGTAGAGGGTTGAACGGTGCCAATGAACAATCAGGGCCACATAGGATGGGTTCAATGGGTTTCAAACCAAAGGAAAGGCTCTCTCAGTTTTAGGTTTTTCGGCCACTAGGTGAGCCGACCAGGCCAGGGGAGGTGGCTAGAGGGAGGTTTAATCAATTGAGCTCAAGCATGTGTCTCTTGGCCAAAAATGGGGATGAAATCCCCCAAATCATGAGACCATTGATCCATGGCACTTCTAGGGTGGGCTAAGAGCATCTAAGTTGGTTCTTAGGATCCAATTGGTAGCTGAGGTGGTCCAAGATGCGTTAAACCAAATGGCTCTAAATGGGTTCAAGGCTTCGGTTCAAAATACATGACTTGGCTTGAATTTAGGTTTAGGCTTGGCTAAAGCTTGGACTTGGGCCCAAATGAATGGTCATTTTGACATAGGACATTGTCACAAAGCCTTGAGAAGTCAATTGGATTGAAGATTGAGGGGCCATAAGGTTCAAATTGATGGAATTTAGATTTGGAGGCAAATTTGGGGGTTTTGGTTTGGATTGAGTTTGTGCTAGGTTTAAGGCTAGGCTAGGGTCAATTGAGAGTTCAATTTGTTGTGGAAAAATGTCACAGAGTTTAGAATCCAAAATTTTTTTACCAATATGAGTCTCAATCCAATTCTTTAATGTTATGAAAATCTCTGTCACCTCACTCATGTGCTTCATGGTGTACACCAAAAAATATCAAGAAAAGAAAAAATATCCTAGGCTATCAAATGGCGCCACTTTGTCAGGCCCACAAATTTTGTATGCTTACTTTAAAATAGCCTGTAGTGTAGATGACAATACCAAGGGTTGCTCATGTCGTCAAACACATAATATTCTCAAAAATCAAGTTTGTAGGTGCTTACACATTTGATTAATCTTTTTTTCACCAAAGCTTGAAGCAAAGCCTCTCCAACATGAGCTAGTTCCATATGCCACAATGTGATGACATCAACATAATCATCAACAACACTTGCAGTTTCAGTCACTGTACAACCCTGAAGATAGTAAAAATTGTGATGACGAATACTTTTCATCAAAATCAATCATTTCTTCAACAAATCCTAAAGTAAAGCCTCTCCAACGTGAGCTTGCCCCAAATGCCACAATGTATAACAACAACAACAACAAACAAACAACAAACCTTTATGCCACAATGTGATGACATCAACATAATCATCAACAACACTTGCAGTTTCAGTCAATGTACAACCTTGAAGATAGTAAAGATTGTGATGACAAATACTTTTCATGAAAATCAATCATTTCTTTAACAAATTCTGAAGTAAAGCCTCTCCTACGTGAGCTTGCCCCAAATGCCACAATGTATAACAGCAACAAAAACAAACAAACAACAAACCTCTATCCTACTAAGTGCGGTTGGCTACATGAATCACTTTTCTCCATTGCATCCTATTGAGTGTCATATTTTCATTTAATTCTAATAAATTAAGATCATTTTTAATACAATATACCCAAGTCATTCTAAGTCTACCTCTATTTTTTTAACATAAGTCGAATCTAAACATCTACTCTCCTAATTGGATCATCAGATGGTCAACGTTTAATGTGACAAAACTAGCTAAGATGACTTTCTCTAATTTCTTTTGCCATTGGAGCTACACCACCAACCCTATCAAAGATATATTCATTTCGCATTTCAACTCTAAGTGTAAAACCATTTATCCACCTAAGCATTCTTATCTCGACAACACTTAACTAAGGTTTATGCATCTCTTTTAAAGGCCAACATTCAACGTCATAAAGCATTGCAGGTCTCACCATCTTATAAAATTTTTCTTTCTATCTACTCTGTACTTTTCTATCAAGCAATAGGCCCGACGCTTCCTTTACTTCAACCAACCAATTCTAATTCAACTGATAACATTCTCATCTATATCAGCATCACTTTGAACAACAAAACCGAGATATCTAAAGTGTTAACTCCTTTTAATAATTTGATTACCCATAGTTACAACTCTATTACTAGAGCTTACTAGAGCTACTACTAGAGCTACTACTTCTAAAATTGCATTCCATGTATTCAGTTTTAGTTTTACTCAAACAAAGGCCTTTAGAATCCAATGTAATCCTCCAATAATTCATGTTTTTCCTGAGATTTCTCTCACGAGAAGGATATCATCAGCGAAAAGAAAACACCAAAGTTCATCCTTCTGTAAATGTCTAGTAAGAGCATCTATAACTAAAGTAAAAATATATGGTCTTAAAGCCAATCCCTGATGTAATCCAACTAAAATAGGAAAATATTTGGTCAATCCTCCTTTTGCTTGAACACAAGTAATAGCTCTAGTATACACATCTTTAATGACTCTCCAGGGCATTCATTGCTATGAATAACTTACTAAAGATTTAAAGAGCACAGCACATCCATCACCTCACCACCATATGACAATGTTTCCTTTGCTGAAAAATTTTGTAACCTCAATCTTGACGAAATGCGTAACCACATGATGAGTCAACGTCTTTTCAATCGTCGTGGTGGATGATGAAATACTCGACGAAATGCTATTATGTATGGCTCCATTAGATATTGTAGCATAACTCACACAAATGCCTTTGTGTTGCATTCACAACATCGCCGGAATCGCATCCACTCGTCGCCACAATCTTCGATTTGGCTCTAATACCAATTATTGTGCAAAACAATATAAAGAACAAATTCACATTAAAAATAAACAATGAAACATGGTGTGACTTACATGATTGGCACAAAACCACCTACATCCAGTGGGAGAAGTTATTTTACTATCAATCGGTGTGGAGAAAAGAAAAAAATGTCGAATTAGTGTTAAAACTCAACACTCATAAATCTTCTATATTCTCTCACATAAATAAAAGAAATTTAGGGTATTCAAATTTGGAATATTTCAAACATAGGAACGGTTATATATTTAGATCTCCTCATGTTAAGTTTTACAATAAAGAAAAGACCATATAATTAAGTCTCTCAAAATTAGATTATCTAATATTAATCTTCCGAGCATACACAGTTCTTAATTTACAACCACTAGATTTCAATACTTCCATAACACTTGGGCCATAGTAGGTTTAGAGTGATAGGGGAGTTGGATTTTCCATTATCCTTCTAAGGTGTGATATTTTAAGTAAATAAGCAATCCGTCAAGTGATTTTTACTTAAATCCGTATAAATTGCTGCTACTTAGACTGAATTTCATACTTTACAAATTGCTTCTTCTTGCGTTTATATTTTCTGGAATATGTCTAACCAGTTTCTGTTTTTTTGCTGCAAAAGAATCTCATAAATTTAACTAAAATCTATTTGTTGCTGGCTTCCAATTCTAGATTCCAGCATGTCCAAATTTCGCAAGAAGCAACTCCAAATCAAGTGCTGAAACACCTTCATTGAGCTCTTCATGTAAAAGGAATAAAACAAGGCAAATTAATGTATAGAAGTCCGAACAAACCGATGAGTTTTTTGTCCCTTAAGAGAATACTAGCTGGTCAAGTTTTTATTCGATGGGTTTTGTTTCTAGCAAATGAACCTTTTTGAAAGCACCTGAAAGACTGTTATTCACAAATCTAATAACTAGATGATATTTTTGAACTATAGAACAGATGCATTTACATGTACCATGATCTAACCAATGAGAATTTGATGAAAATGAAAAAATATATGTTGGAGTTTTATCATAGATTTTGATATTTGAGTCAGGATTTGAAAAAATTGATTAATGAGGATGATAGATTTGTAAAGAGCAATATTAATGGTGCTATGTATTTTTGTGGCAAGTTGTTAGGCACATTTTCTCCCTCTACTTTTTTTTTTTTTTTTAATTCAAGCTTTTTGTTCAAATATACTTTGTTGGGAGTGAAAGGCACATCAATGTCTTCACCTTTCAACCTTTATCTGTGTCATAGTTTTTGGATCATACGCAACATGGCGTCACAGAATTTATTCACATTTGATAGCATTCATTAGTAGTTTCTAGATACATTAATTCTCTTTGATTTAAAATTGTGAGATAGAATGCATTTGCATTTCCACTATTTCTTTCAAATTCAGCATAGCTTTACGGCCCATTTATAATCATTCTTCTATTTGGGTCTTTTTCAACTCTATGTTTCTCACTTGCATACGATCATAATAGAATGAATATCATTTTTACTAAGATGATCATTGTTCATGAGTATACTTTTATGACAGTCGGAAGTTGGACATATACGATTTCAAAGTTGTATCTCTTTGGTTAATAAGATACAAAAGGTTTATCGATCCCAGGGGGTACAGATCCATAATAGACATCTAGAGATTATTGTGCGTCAAGTAACATCAAGAGTTTTGGTTTCCGAAGATGGAATGTCTAATGTTTTTTTAACCTGGGGAATTTATTGGATTGTTGCGAGCAGAACGAGCAGGGCGCGTTTTGGCCGAATCAATCTGTTATCGGGCAATCTTATTGGGAATAACGAAGTCATCTCTGAATACTCAAAGTTTCATATCCGAAGCAAGTTTTCAAGAAACTGCTCGAGTTTTAGCAAAAGCTGCTCTACGAGGTCGTATTGATTGGTTGAAAGGCCTGAAAGAAAACGTTGTTCTGGGGGGGATTATACCGGTTGGTACCGCGAAAGAAAAAGTTGTTCTGGGGGGGATTATACCTGTTGGTACCGGATTCAATAAATTAGTACATCGTTCAAAGCAAGACAAAAACATTCATTTGAAAATCAAAAGGAATTAAAAAAACCTATATATTGCTTTTTAGGCTCAACTTTCCTAAAAAAAAAATCATATCATACCTTAGAAAAACTATGTATTTCGTTTTATCATAGGCTTATTGTTTTAAGAGTTAAAAAAATGAAACAGATAAGATAATTATAATACAACAATATAATTATACATAAAAGATTTATAATACACTTTAGCCTATGTATTTGTTGAATTCAAATCTATACGGGAGACACTCAAGGAATAGAGCGCCTGAGATCGAAAGAGAAAGTGAAAGAAAGAGGAAACACAAATGCATAGATACAACACATAATGTACCCCCACGACGATGATATTTCATACTATTGACAAATCTTGCCCCTGAAGTCCATGGTTATGGCCGGTCGACTATCAAGGCGGGTGATAGCGAGGTTGGTCCACTATCTGGGTGGCTATTTGCTGAGGTTTTATGTTAGTCACTCTAGAACTGGAGAAGCCATTGGCATGTTCTTGGTCTATCTAGGCTGAATGGTGTCAGTTTCATCCTATTGGCTCTGGCATAGGGGTTCTTCGAGGTTGACCCCCACCCTTTAGTCACCTGAGTTGCAGTATCTTCTCAATATGTTGTGAGGCTGCCAACCGAATGTCATGATCTTGGTCTATTCTTGGTAGGTCCGGCGAGGCTGCGCCATCACTTTCACCATTCGTGCGATGTCTGTGTGATTTGTTGTCGGCTGTTTTTAAACGTCGCAATTTGAAAAAGTAGTGATTTTGTGGTTTTGAAAATAATTTAAATATGAATATAACCTCTTTTTTTTAAAGTAACATTTTAATTTTAAAATAGGTGAGACCAAATGGGTCTCACATTTTAAATAACTTAAATAATTGAAAACAATACTATAAGAAATACACTTATCCCGAAGAATAAATATATCACTTGTAATAGAGATTCAATCACCTAGATTAAATAATTTGTGTAATTTGTGACATTAAAATTGTGATATCCGTTTTGGTCTGCAAAATATTTTATAAAAAGGTCAACAAGTTCTCCTATATAACATAAAAAATTAGATAAGGTTTATTTTATCTGGGTTCCAGGTTCCCTATAGAGGCAAACCCCTATAGTTAATTACCAATAACCGAAATCACTTAAGAAAACTCTTGATTAAGATCAGGTGATTTTTCTTTCAAGATTTCAAAGTTTAAGTTTTCACGGTTGGACATGAGAAAATCAAATGGAAATGGCTCAAAATAGGAACAATTATTTAAGGAATTCAAAAGGAAGAAAAGTAGGGGATATCACGGATCCGGGGGAAAAAATCCCGGTGAACTCCCAACTATCCTATTGTTTGGCTTTATTTTTTTGAAATGATGATTATTTGATATTTCAATTCTGCAAATTATTTAGGATTTAGATCTTATGTTTGCATAATATCGGACTGTGCAAATAGCCTAAAAAGATAGAAGGATTTACACAGTACCGCACTGTAACCTTGGAATCCTAAAGCGTTAGGACTTATAATTGTACAACAGAGTTGTACAAAAAGCCTAGAGAGTGATCATATAGGCTGTTATTCAAACTAAATGAAGTGATAGGTGATGTGAATGTGTTTTGCTGCTGCAGATCCACCTTGAAGTTGTTCCTCATCGTGCTGCCCACGATGTTTGCTCCAGGCTCTTTATAGTAGCACCTCCTGGTTTAATTTTAATTTTGAAAATGCACCTAACCACTAGGTTATTCTATACTAAAGCATAGTACAAAAACTAAGCAATAAAACATGCAGTGTAAAAGAAAAGTAATAATGTACTGTACAGTAAAGAGGAAAAACAGTATAACATGCTGAAAGAAGAGTATAACGTGCTATAAAGAGTAGTATAACATGATATAAAAACAATATATATAAAAACAATATAACATGCTGGAAAAATAAAATGTTGTAATATAAATTAAACCTGTACACCTGGTAGGTTCATTCCTCCTTTAAGTTTAGCTATTATGCGTTGTGTAAAAGAGGAAAGTATGACCTGAAAAAGGCTTAACAGAAACAGGTAAATCGTAAAAAAAAGACAAAACAAATAAAATAAAATACAATATCACATATAAAGGACTAAGAAAAGGGAATTCATATGTGATATTGGAATGTCCCCAATTACCAGGAGGATTTGAGTGTAAGACAAACTCAAATCCCGGAGCATTGAGTTTTAGTTTTGGTCAAGTTAAGGTAAGAATTTCATTATTTGATCCAATTAAATCAGTCATGAATCATAATCTAGTGCACCCTCGTGCCTAGTGTCCTAGTTATCTCATGAACTGTGTCCTAGTTATCTCAAAAACTGGGGTCAGTTGTTTGGCTTCTTAGGTTTATTTAAACATTAAGATGATAAACTCTCTCTCAAGGTGTGCTCTCTAAGATCTAGGAAGCCTACACTTTAGTTTACATGAAGTGTCTTAAAGTGTCTAACTTCAACAAGTGTCTTTCAACTAACTCTCAAACATCTTTAGATTAAGCTTAGCTCACAATCAGGCTCCTAAAACCTAAGGGGTAAACCTTTAGCTTTTGCAAAAGGGTTGTGAAGTGTGCTTCAAACCTAATTAGGGTAGTTGGATGTAAGTTGATTCAAAGCTTAAGGGACCTAAATGCAAGTCTAATGATCTTTCAATCTATGTCCTTAATCGTCATCCAAGCTCTCATTTTCTTCCAACCCCTAACTATTCTTCTAATTTACAATTTTATCTTTCATATGCAAAAAGGAACGGTAGATGGTTCGCTATTTTATTCCCCTTTAGGTTTTATCACCTCGAAGATCCAAATCTTATTTTTAATTTTCTCTCCATTTCTCTTTCCCTCATATTTCCCTTAAGATTATGAATCATTTATGAATATAATTCTATCGGAAATTCCCATTTTTAACTTGACCCTTAAAAAAAAGAAAACAAAACGAACGAAAAGGAGACCGATTTAAAACCAGGCCAAATCACTGAAGCTTAAAATAAAATTATGAATGTGTCGGTCTAAAACGTTTAAATTTGTTAAAAAGAAAATGATCGGATCAATCTCGAGAAGAATATCCTTTCCAAGTGGCAATTAAGGATTTCCAAACCCAACATGAATTCAATTTATATCAAACTCGTGATTTCTCGAAATAATGTTTCTAGAAATCTTCATATGTCATAAAACAAGAAAGACTAAACCATAAGGAATAACTCTCTTTTTAAATTCCCAAATTTATGCCAATACCAATCTCCAAATCTAGCTCATGGACAAGGCCAGTCTGAGGACAGTCCTAAAGGTTATGAACACCAAGTGAGGCTTACGATCAAACAACAAACCAAAGCCTATTAAACCAACAAAACCACCAAGCCATCTTCTCAACAAGGCCAACTCAAACCCAACAGGAAGGGGAAAGCCGAGCCCCAAGGAATGATCTAAACAGTAGAGTATGTAAGCCAACATAACTCACTAAAAGGAGCCCAAATCGAGCCCAAGAAAAGAGCCAACCGAGCCCACGAGCCCAACACAAGGGGCAAACCAAGGCTAAGAAATAATCCTAACGGTAAAACATTTCAGCCCCCATAAATCACCAAAGAAGCCCAAATCAAGCCCAAGAACATGGCCAACCGAGCCCATCACGAGAGGCAAATTAAATCCAGCAAAAAGGGTGCAAAACAGAGAAGTATTCCAGATAGATCGAACTCACTAAATGGGTCCAAACAAAGCCATAAAAATCAGATTCCATGAAGCCAAAATCGAGCCCAAGAAAAGGACAAACCTTGTTCAATACATGGGGCAAAATAGGAAGCATGAAATGAGCCCCCAAACATATCTTTCCATAGACACAAAATAATTTCCGGCATATACTCTAGTAAGGGGCATCAAGAGAAGCATGGAATGAGCTCTAAACACATTTTTCCAACTTAAAATAATTTCCAGCATGTATTTTATCAAGGGACAGCAAGAGAAGCAAGATGTGAGCCCCAAACACATTTTCAGCTCATAAA